CTGGGGAATTCTGGGAGTTGAAGTCCACACATCTTCGAGTTGCCAAGGTTGAGAAACACTGATATACACTAACAGTGCTCTGCTGTGAAGGTATAATATCCGATGTAAACGATTCAATCTTCCACTCTGCTTCAAAATGCTTAGGTGCCCCCTTCTTCTTCCTCCCGCACAGTCTAACTACGTGCTAGATAGTTTAGGAACGCTAACAGATTTTCCTACAAGAGTTCACTCATTTTCCTCTTGCTTCCTCTCCCTGGCTCCGGAAGTTGGGTTCCTGGCTCTCTCTGGTGCGTCTCCCTCCGATCCGCATCCTGTCCTGTCACCTCTCCCTGAAGGAGCATCTCCAGCCGACTCCAGAAGAAACTACCCCCCCCATCTGCTCTGAGTTCTTTTAGCCTTTGTCCCTACAAAGCCCAGATGCCACGGCTACTTATTCCTCCCTTTGTTCTGTAACTGCCCGGGGGCCTAAGGTTGCATTTGACAGTCAGACCGGCCGAAGAAGAGAAAAAAGTTCTTGTTTTTTGCAGGTAGCATTTTTTTGTCTTCGTTTCAGGGCGGCTCATCCTTCCACGCGCCCCTTATTGCTTTACTCTGTTACGCAGAACGGAGCTTCGTGGGTGTAGGATTTTGCACAACGTGAATTGGCAGGTGAGGATTTGGTCACTCCTCCCAGGGAGACTGAGGACAATATTTCATTCTTCCTAAAAAAAAAACAAAAAAAACCTATGAACAATCTGGAATCATAAAACTGGGACCTATGAAAAATAGGCAAATGTGTTTCTAGCCCGCAAGAAGATTGTCCGCCATTTCTCGCAAACACAGCTGGAAAGCTACAACACGCCTGAGACGTAGTCCCTGTCATTCTTTCAGCCGTTCTGTGCTAAATGGCCAAATTAGCCCATATTCCAGTGGCCACTTTTGAATGACGGTCAGAGGAATTTATTTTGCAATTTTGAAAAGACCAACTGAGAAAACGTACAACTGTTTTTCCCCCCTTGTGGCCCAAGGAGATGGTTTGACGTCTTCAGCTGGGGCAAAAGGCTATTGCTCCTGCTGTCAATAACTGGGAAGTAAGAACAGACTTTTAAGTTTGATTTATACCCTGCCTTTCATTCAGAAGATAAAGGCAGTGAACACGCATAGTCCCTCTTCCTATTTTCCCCACAACAACCCTGTTGGGTACTTTGGGCTGTGAGAACCACTCAACAAGCTTCCATAGGATTAGAGCAGTGTTTCTCAACCTTGGCAACTTTAAGCTGTATGGACTTCAACTCCCAGAATTC